TTAGTATAGCTGAATAGATAACACGACATAAGATAGAAGAAAGAAGGGCGAAAAGAGAAGAGGGCTGCTGCTCCAAACAATATTCTTGATCAGAATCAATAGCCGAGTCGAACTGGCCATTTCCTTCTTTCCGCCCGTCTGTTCGTATTAATTTGGTAATTTCTTTTTCCAAATTTCTACCGATATTCCAGAAATCGTTGAAATTTCTCTTTCACAATCATCCACTAGCTAAGTAACGAGTATCTGATAGTCGGGGAACTCGACTATAGCAATCTGCCTTGTTTTAATTTCTAATTATTCTAATTTGTCTGATATTTTGTATTTTTAATAATACTAGTAATAATATGTCGAAGTAGTATGAGCGAACGGTCGTTCTTTCAAATAAATGTTTTGCTTTGCCAAAACCAGCGGTGGTTTTTTATAAGTTCTTTAATAATTCTATTAAAACTCCGTTCCCTTCGCGAGTGAATCTCCCTCGATTTGTGCACCATATCAAACATATTATTAAAACCTTTTTTTCTGTCTTCGTGTTCTGTTTACTCTCTCTTTTGTGCGTTGTCCGTAGTGCTGCTTGGTGTTGTTTTTGTATGCACATTAACTGCAGTGCGCACCCGCTATCTCTCTCTCTCTCTCTCAAACAAAATACAAAATTTTAAGCGTGTTAAGTGCGATCTTGGGGTACATTTAACAGTTCGCTTGCAAGTTTTGAAGATACACATCTTGGTACAGTATGAAACGAAGAAACATGGTATCTAATGTTGTCTTCTTCCAAAAGAAATGCCGTCAGGTAATAAAGCCTGAACCCTGAAAGCAGGGCTACAGTGAAGTCCTATCGTTGGTCACACGAGGCCATTGTAACCAGGGTCAACATGACGGCCAAAGGCGAACTGCTTTTGAGCTATGTTTCAAAACGGAGAAGTTTAAGCTGTACATGGGAGCAGAGCTCAGAGACCGAGCCAGCCTACGCACGGTAACGCAATCCAAAGGGCTCTTGATTCGTGACCTCGACGAGCTGACTACAGAGGACGAACTGAGGAGTGCGCAAGCAAAGGGAGCCAAGCGATCAACCACCAAGCGGGCACCCAGAAGTGCCCATTAGAGGGCAGAGGAGTACCAAAGGAATCACTATGATGCGCATGATTCAGTTAAATCTGAATCACTGCACGGCAGCCCAGGGCCTGCTAGGGCAGGCGGTGCGAGAACGCAGGCCAGATCATGCGTTACTTTGTGAGCCTTACCGGAAAGAGGCTAGCCCAAAATAGGCTTTCGGCCGCACCAGGAAAGCTGCGATCTGGAGGTGCAGCAGCGTAGCTCAACATATATAACCCATGTGCTAGGAGACAACGGGTTTGTTAGAGCAAAGGTGAGCAGATGGTGAGTGTACAGCGTATACCTAGCTACCAGCCTGACCATAAACGAGTTCCAGGCGGTAGACAGTCTGGCGTCGGATGCATGCTAGAGGTCTTTATTGCTGGCGACTTCAACACATGGTCAGTTCACCTACCAACTTGAGAGCTAGATGCATTCGCGACGCTGGACCCCAAAACCCACCCCAAACACCGCCAGCAACTCAACGCAGGAAGAAGTACAAAGAAGAAAGTTTCTTTCTTTGGTGAGTGGAAAAGTCGCAGAGCTGACGGCAGACGTGCTGATGAGACAGCTGAAGACCGCGTGTGACGCCTGCATGCAAACAAGCAGGATCCATAGACGTCACAGGGCTCCGGTCTACTGGTGGATCCAGGAGATAGAGACGGCTCGGAGTGACTGCCTCCTCGCCAGACGACGGCGTCGACGCTTCGGAGGTATGGAGTCATTTGCCGAACGCCAAGCTGAGTACAGAGTCCGCACGAAAACACTCAAGCTAGCCATACGGGAGAGCAAGCGGACAAATTTTTCGTCGACCTATGCAATGCAGCTGATGCTGTGACCCATGGGGAACTGCCTACAAGGTGGTGGTCAAGAAGGCATACACGGGGACTCCCACACCTCTGGACCCAAGGAAGCTCCGCAGTATAGTTGTACAGTGTAGTACGCCCCGCTGACACTGCCGCAGATGGCCACGACGAAGCAGACGCCACGGTCAGCAGCGAGGACGGAAAGGCCCCCGGCTCCGACGGCACTCCCAACAAGGCGTTTCGGCTAGCTCTCTTCCTTCAGCCTTTTTTTGCAAGGCGTTCACCAAGTGCAACCGTACCCGAACTGTTGGAAGATCCAAAAACTGCTGCTCCTCCCAAAACCAGGGAAGACACCCGAAGTGCCTTCATCGTTATGCCTCATCAACGGAACTGGTAAGCTCTTGGAGAAACTGGTGTGTGTTCGGTTAGAGAGGGCCTTCTTAGACGCGGGAGATCTCTCACGGTCCCAGTTCGCATTTAGGAAAGCACAGTCCACAATCGCCGCTGTCAACAGAGTGGTCGAAGTAGCGGCTCAGGCAATCGAAGGCACCAGATGGAAAGGGGGCGCACTAATCGGCTTCGGGGTACCAGCCCAGTTCGAATAGTGCACAGCTACTTCTCGGTACGGGTCCTACTCTGCGAGTCGACTGAAGGAGTTTTCAGGCACCAGGTCACTGATGGAGTCCCACAAGGATCGGTTCATGGCCCGCTTCTATGGAACGCCATGTACGACGGAATACTTCGCCTCCCGCTGGTGGGTAGGAGCGAGATTGTAGGCTTCGCCGCCGACGTGGCACTGCTGGTTGTAGATAAGCAACTCGGTCAGGCAGAGGGGTCGTGTAACCGCAAAGTCAGGACCATCGAGCAATGGTTCAGCTCAATGGGGCTTGATCTGGCACCGGAAAAGACGGAGGATGTCCTGATAACCTCCAGGAAGGTAGTGGAGACGGTCAAGTACATGGGAGTCATGATAGACAGAAGGCGTTCCAGGAGCACCTAGCCTACGCTAGCACAAAAGCAACAGGAGTCCACCAGTCGCTATCCGTCATAATGTTAAATACTAGGCCATAAACAGGTGAGCAGAAGACTGCTGATAAGCGTTACCCGGGCAACTATGCTGTACCCCGCCCCGCTGTGGGCAAAAGCCCTCCAAGTAGACAGCTACGTTCAGGGTCTGACCGCTACACACAGACTGTCGGCACTACGCATCTGTACCGCCTTCAGAAAGATGTCCAACGACCTAATCGCCCAGGAAAACAAATCGGTCTTCAGTCAAGCCCACGGTAGGGGCCTCTCCTCCAGCATCACCTGATACCCAATTTCAAGCCGTGGATAGAACGGAAGCATGGCGAAATTAACTTCCACCTAACGCAACTGATCAGCGGACACGGCTGCATCCGCAGCTATCTGAAACGCTTCGGCCATGAGGAGTCGGATGAATGTCCACGGTGCGGAAGCGGACGGTGCGAAACCTCATAGAACGAGCTCTTCTCCTGCAAAAAGTTCGCTTGCGAGAGGAGATCCCTGGAAGCCGTGCTTGGCAGAAGACTGAGTGCGGATAATCTAGTCCCATTCCTGCTGCAGCCGGAGGTGGAATGGCAAGGGGCCAACTGCTTTGCTGTGGCGTTAATAACCGAGGAGAGCTTAGAGAGCCTGGAGGGAACACGAGTGAGCCGATCCAGCATGTCCTCGCAAAGCAATGCTTCACGGCCATACCGCGGGGCGTCTATATAAATATAAATATAAATAAATAAAGCTTGAGCAGCCAAAAATTACTTGTTGACTGTGTGATAAAATCGTGCACATTTAGTGCGCAGGTATTAGCGGCCGAACAAGTGATGACACATCTAAGGGCCCAAATCTAAAATACTGTTGTGATGCTTGCCTAAGCGTTGCGGACGAGATGAAATCGTTTATGCGTTAAACAAAATGTGGCTTGAAAGGATTGATCAGCAGTTTTCACGAGGCTAGATATAGTTTTCGCAGCCTCCGGTATGTGATCAACAGGACTCCATAGCTGATCAGTTGTCAATCGCATTAAGTCCTCAAATGTTGCTTCGATCGGCAGCTTCGATTAGCTTAACACCACAAAGGACTACCGGTGCAAGTTGGCCCTTCAGAAACACAATCTTCAGTCCAAAACCCCTCATGGTGGTTCCACTAAAGAAACAAATTTTCGTTTCTCGGCTTTCCTCTTATCAAACATCATGTGATGAATTGTCTTATATACAATACAAAACAAGAGAGAATGCTATAGTCAATGCCATAGTAATGCTACAGTAAATTTCTGGAATATCGGTAGAAATTGGGAAAAATATAACAAAATGAAAAAATTGTTGGCTTTGGAGTGGTTTAGTTTTTTGGGAAATCTATAGAAATTTAGAAAATATAAAAAAAATATCACAACTTTTAGCAAACTTATAGAAATTTACAACATACATATATGTATAAAAAAAAAAATGAAAAAATTCCACATGTTGAAAAGTGTGCGCGTGGCAATTTTGATCGGTTTTTGGGCGTTAGAGTGGGCGTGGCAACATTTGGAAACAGACTTACACTCTATGTTTCTGGACGCTGCATGCTTGAACTCAACATTCTAGCTTTTGTAGTTCCTGAGATCGAGGCGTTCATACGGACAAACGGACATGGGCAGTTCGACTCAGCTATTTATTCTGATGAATAATACTTTATATGGTCGGAAACGCTTCCTTCTGTCTGTTACATACTTTTCAACGAATCTAGTATATTCTTATTAAAGGGTAAATTGTTGAGATTTAATGCAGATTTTAGTGACGCCTGCATTTTGCAAGTTTGTCTCAGAACGTTATTTTATTTTATCATTTGTATTGCTAATATCGCTAGGACGCATATGTAAAATTAAATTAAATATTTCAATAAAATTTTAATTTTTATTTGCAAAGTAATTCTGAGTTCAATAATAGTGAAACTGGTCAATGATATTATTGGTAAACTAAAAACACATATCACATTTATATATACCCACATTATTTCAGAGTAAAGAAGATGAGCAAAGTATAATATAATGATGCTTCCAATGGAAGCTAAAAACACACATCACATTTATATATACCCACATTATTTCAGAGTAAAGAAGATGAACAAAGTATAATGATGCTTCCAATGGAAGTAACCGAGCCTTCTGAAACAAGTGATGGGACTGAAGAAATAAGAAGACGAAAACGATCTGTGAATAAGAATAAAACATACAAACAGGTTAGTATAAAATATATAAAAAAAAAGAAAAAATATACATATATGGAAATATGCAGTAAATAACGATAACTCATTTTCCGTCCCCAAAATGGTACGAGCTCTAATTCTAGTTGTGGTTTTGATGGTTGATGAAAGTGTTTGTTAACTAGGTAAATGTAGTAATTGATAATGAATTCGAATAATAGCCTGCACCTATTTCGGCCTCTCTGTTGTCTTTTCTCTCTTTTATTCGGGCTTACCAACTACATTTCCATGTTTGTCCCCACTACCAGGTCGCAAAAGGCAGAGGATGCTTGTCGGGAACACGGGGCATGGGCTCAAACGTGGTGGAGTGACGCGACGGTGGCGCCGTCGTTTTTACCGTTAGACAAATGCATGAGTGTGCGCAAAAAACTTATTTCCTGTTATTTTCCATGTAACAAGTTGGCGGTTAAATTCCGTTTGACGACAAATACTCCTGTGACGTAGTTGTATTAGTATAAATATTTATTGTATTATTAATATTTAGAAAATTTTGTAATGGGGATAATTTGGATATCTGTCAGGATATCAGTTCCACTCCACAAATTCCCCGGATGGCAAGTCCCATGGAGGTACCGGTATATTAATTAGATCTGCCATTAAGCCTCATTTATTAAACAATTCTATACCTCTAACACCTCTATAAGCCTGCAATCTGGCAGGCTTTTCTCACTCTGGCTGCAGTTTACTGGCCACCTGGCTTCCCAATCTCTGAGGAGAGTTCTTGGAATTCTTCAATTCTCTATGTGAGACATTTATTGCAGCCGACGACTACAGCGCCAAGCACAAGAACTTGGGATCTCGTCTAGTAATCCCAAAGAAAAAGTAGCTAGACCATGTAATCATCATTTTGTGCACTAGTTTCTTTGTAATCAAAGTCTTTTAAAAGCGTTTATCTCCATATCAAAAATATAAAAGTTAGTTTCGTGCCTCATAAGATCTGTTAAAAGCAATGACCGCAAATTCAGGATAAACTCCCGGAAAGAGCTAACCAGACCTGTTGCTTTTCGTTTGTCGAAATAGGAAACTTTGTAACGCCAGAGCAGCTTTTTGTCCGGTTTGTAAATGTAACATTTGCACACTTGTCAGCATTAATGACGATGCTCCAATTTACAGCCCAATTCTGAATTTCATATAAATACTGCTGTAGTCCACTGGTTGCTTGGTTAATGCAGTTGCTTCTAGATAAGACTGCTAGGTCATCAGCATATGCTGCAATTAATATATCATTCCGATTACAACTGGTAATTGCTGTACAGGTGGGCATATCTGCAGTGAAGATGGAATACAATGTTTGCTGTAGAACACTTTCTTGAGGAAGTGCCTTAATGCATCTTAAGTCCATGCATCCAGGGTTCACGTCACGCAAAATGTGCGATCTTCCACAGCTTTTAGCTGTCGATTCATTAACATTAAAAGTGATCTCTACAAGTGATCTCTTCACTCAACCTAAAACCTCCGATGATGCATGGCTTCCCTAAAGAGAATTAAATATCACGTTTTCTACAAGACCGGGAACCTATATATTAATAATAACACTTCTTGGGTCTGTGCTCGAGCATAAGTCTCATTACAAATATCTTGTAGTCATCCTGGACAGGGAACTAAACTTTGGCCGGAATGTTACATAATTGAAGCATGCTATGTTGTCAAAGCTGCGAAAATGCCTTAGCTCATTGGGATTGGGACAGATAGCCTTCAAGTTTATGAAATTACTGCTAAATGCTCAGAGTTAAAATTCTAGATTTTGGCCCTAAATGCCAATAAATAAGCATATAAATATAAACCTATAAATAGCCTACAAATATTTTTTTGGTTTGCTCGCATTATGTTTTGGTTCCCAGATTTCTGAAGAGGGATGCTTATTATTTTTAATTTAGACTTTATTATTCAAATTATTATAAATTCTGTATATTTTCGTTTTCTTTTAACAAATTATTATAATATATAATTCCATAATATTTTTTTTAATTTGACACAAATAAGAGCACAAATAATCGAACAAATATCCTTTTTAAACTGGGATGTTTTATCGCCCTGTTTTATACACCTCACTGTTAACGAATTCATTGGCATCCACTGCTAAATATTGGCAATAAAGCCAGATTATCAACGATATCAGTACCCGTTGCTGACCTCAACAGCGATCTTGGTGTTCCTGAGAAGTCGGCTGACTTTAAATTTTCGTATTCTATTCCCCTAAATTGTTTGGCCTTCATACCAAATCCATCAACGTGCACATAGGGGGATACTGGAGAGAATCCAATAACGCGAAAGGCATAACCACAAATTGGTAAAGGGCCCTTCTCGGCATTGTAAATGTGTCTAGCGTAATCTGCCAAAATCCATCCATACCGTCTAAGCTAGTCATTAATTCAGCTTTTAGAAATTTAAATATTCCAATAAACCGTTATCTCAATCATCTTTCGGCCATCGATGCAAGGCCTAACCTTACCTGGTTTTTGCAAAAAAACTACTGGGGAGGACGCTTTCAATAAACCCTAACTTGAGCATCCTATCCAACTCGACATACATCAGCTTTTTTTGTTGCTCGAGAGTTATCTAAATAGACTAAAATAATAGCTGTGACCGACTAGATCGCCAAGAATGTTATCCATTTCTCTTTGAAAGGTCGCTGGAGCGTTCTAAACTATATTCGTTGAAAAGTATGTAACAGGCATAAGGAAGCGTTTCAGAGAGAAAGCACGATCCTTTATAAGCGTTGATATTCAATTTGGATATTTGATATCCAAACCGAGAAACCTTTATGGGTAGCTCACACCAATCGATGTGTCCGTCACTATTATTTCTCATTTGTTCAGTTGTAGGAGTTTGTTAAAGAGTTCCTGTCACTTCTGTGCAAGCATCATCTGTGATGATGACTCTGATCGGATATCAATACTTAATGATCGCTTAGCTGTTATATTTTTGTTTCCGTAAGGCAAACTGTTGCAAACTGTCCAAAAATACATCAGATAGCTATGTAAATTGCATGTTGACAGCTTTTCCACGTTCTTTAAGTATATGTTGCCTGAAACTTGCGATGATGCAACCTAATGCTTAATACTAAATGCCGAACAGAAACCTTTATAAAGTTATTCAACTCACTCGTTGCAATCATGTAGCCATACTTTCAATAATCCAGTCATCAACGCAAATTATAGATACGGCAAACGACTTCCCCCCTAAAACTTCTTCTGAAGGTATTATAGAGAATAACAATTATGGATAACACCAATCCTTGTTCAAACATGTCTTTCACAAAAATTTTGTAGAAGCATAGCTAACTGCGATCTCATTTTGTAATTATTGTCATGCTCGGACTCACAAAAAAGATATAAAAGAAGTGGTTGGAAACTGTTCGCCAGTCCGAGCGCAACAATTGCCTCCGTCGACCGTATCAGTTCAGCGTGGAGTAAGAATGGAGTAGGAATTTAGCCAGAGCTCTAGCTCAATTAGAAGAAGCTAATACGGGTAAAATACCGAAATCAGTCCATCGACACGCGTCGAACTCAAACGGTGGATGGATTATATTACAATGCAGGAGATGATAAAGCTAACCATTATCGGGGTTACATCGTCTTTATTAATACAGAATCTTCCACCCCAAAGCAATAACCAAAGGCTGGCATAATTCACGAACGAGCCGCTTTCAGTTCGTCATCAGTTCGTCTCGGCAAAAAGTCGATATCATGTAAAAATGGAGAGTACATTTTGATGGAGCTACTGACGGGTTAAGAGATAAATAATTTATTTATAGACTAAAAGCGCTCACAGACGAAACCTTGGGGAGTCCCTTTTCAAGTATGTGTAAGAATCTCCAAAGCTAGATCCTGGTATTGGAGATACCACAAGGAAGTAGATGGTATAGAGCACGAAGGCAAAAACAAGGTGACCCGTATTCAACATTTTATGAGGCAATAGCTTCTTTAATTAATAAGGCATCTATAAAAATTGAAGAGGAAGAATTTATTGAAATATTAAGTAACAATTTTGCTTCCCGAGACTAGGCAAAAGTTGCTGTATCATTCAGTGAATGCTGTGGGACACTTACATACCTAGCTCAGCTAAGTGAAAACTTATACCATAAAATCAATTGCCGGATTGCCTTCAAAGCGAACGGTCGGGTTTTTTTTTTGGGCTTTTTGCTTTTGCCAAATAATAAGTTCTTTAAGTCAAGTTTTTTAATAAGTTCATTAATAATTCTATTTTGTACATATAACTATAAAAACTCCGTTCGCGTCGCGAGTTAATCTCTTTCGATTTGCGTACTATTTCAAACAAATTAATTTAATCTTTTGTTTTTTCCGTCTTTGTGTTTCGTTTACTCTCTCTTTTGAGCGTTATCCTTAGTGCTGTTTAGTGTTTTCTCGCTCTCCCACACAAAATCCAAGGTTTTAAGCGTGATCATTTAACGGCTTGCAAGTTTTGATTTTGTGTCTTAAAACAGTGGTCGGAAACAAACAAACATGTAAACTAATGTTGTCTACTTTCAAAACAAATGCCGTCAGGTAATAAAGCCTGGGAAGCGAAAACTTTTTTTTGGCTGTGTGCTAAAATGGTGCACACTAAGTACGCAGGTTTTAGCGGCCGAACAAGTGATAACCTAGCTAAGGCCCCAAATCAAAAGACTGATCAGCAGTTTAAACGTAGCTAGGGATAGTCCTCGTCGAGCTGATGATCTCCTTTCCGCGCTAGATTTGCAGTCTAAAAGCCTTAAGCTATTATAAAGCGAAATATAGCCGCTGGTGGCAGGTTGCCTAAGGGGAATGACCCGCAGCCTCCGGCAAGTGATCAATAGGATTTCACAGCTGATCAGTTGTCGATCGCTGCAAATCCCCAATGGTTGCTAGGATCGGCAGCTAAAAAGGATTCGGAGCAATTTTATCAATCAATTGTGAGTGAGTTTGGGATTCCGATTTGTCTGCACCAGTTTCACAGCGATTGGTTCCACCTGTCCCGATTAGTTTACCATACAA